ACGCTAAGATTTAACTATTTTTTATTTTGTTTACTACAAAGAAACATTTATTAAGTAAAGAAAAAATTACTAAACAAAGAAATGATTTTACAAATGGAATTGACAACACTATTTATTTAATAAATTTGATATCATTTAACTTGCGTGTGCGTTGGAAAAAAGCATATTTATATAAATAAAAAAAAATTAAACTATATCTTTGATAATTTAATTAGAATTTGTTTATTATAAACAACTATTTAAAAGTCTTTTGCATAATATATAAAAACATTTAAGTTAAAGATATTTTGGAATATCAAAGTTATTTATCACAAAAAATACATTCTTTTTAAAAAAAAAATAAGTTATATTATATATAATATTCTTTAATAATTTAAATAAATTTTTAATAATTTTGACAAAACAATTAATATTTACAAAAAGCAATTTGTTAGTTTATTCAAAAGAGTTTCATGTACTATAAAATCATTAAAAAGAAATCAGTTTTGAAGATATATATTCCAAACGTAAACGATAAATATTTAAAATAATTTCCATTTTGACCTTGAGTTATTTTATCATTTTAGAATTTTAGTTTATTTAATTATTTTTATTTACTAAAGTTAAATTTTATTTTTAATTTATTTAAATTTTATTTAATTAATATTTGAAAAACTTAATATTTCAAAACATAAAACATCTGTGATCAAATTGTCTTTTGAAAATATTTTATGCATGGACAGACAAGGTGTGTGGGTGCTTCCTGAAACAACCTGCATATATATATATATATATATATATATATATATATATATATATATATATATATATATATATATATATATATATATATATATATATATATATATATGTATGTATATATATATATTCATATATATGTGTATATATATATATATATATATATATATATATATATATACATATATATATATATATATATATATATATATATATATATATATATATATATATATATATATATATATATATATATATATATATATATATACATATATGTATGTATATTATATATATATATATATATATATATATACATATATATATATATATATATATATATATATATATATATATATATATATATAATATATATATATATATATATATATATATATATACTGATAAATTACCCATAATAAACGTTTATATATGTGCTAATAAACCCCATAATTAAACTGTTTAGTTTAATACACAAATTGTATTAAATTAAACAGTTTAATACAATTTGTGCTATACAATTGCTTTTCATTCAAAACATTTTTAAGGGCCTTAAAAACTGATTCACTACTACTACTATCAGTGGCGTAGGTAGGTTTTTAAATGTTTAAAATAACCTACTTATAAACAACAAGAACATTCCATATTTTTTTACATTTATATGTATGACAAAAAGATTCTTTAAAAAAAAAAAAGTTACTGTAAAAGGAGAATGGGAACAAGAAACCCAAATATCTTAGCACTCTTGCCCTAAATGTGAGAGCAACAATTTGATGAAATATTTTTTGTGCTCTTTTCAACTAGACTTATATTCATCTAGAAACTTTAAATTTCATAGTAAAATATTTTAGTGTTCAAAAGCTATGACTATATAAGGTTTGCAACTTCCTCAAATTGAGGGGGGTTTAAACTTTACATTGTCATACTTTTTGAACATGAAAAGGTTTTTCAATGAAATTTAAAATTTCTCGATGAATATAAGTCCAGTTGAAAATTGTACAAAAAATATTTCATCAACTTGTTGCTCTCAGTTTTGGGGTAAAGGGGGCTAATATTTTAGGGTTTTTTTGTTACCATTCTCCTATCACAGTAATTTTTTTTTAAAGAATCTTGTCGTCATACATATAAACATGAACAAATTTGAAATGTTCTTGTTTATAAGTTGGTTATTTGAAACATTTAAAAACCTTTCTACGCCATTGACTACTACTACGATTACGACGACCACAACTACTACTGCGACTATGATTACGACTACCACTACAACTACAACTGTGACTTTGGCTACCATACGACTACCACTACCACAACTGTACTACTATTACTCAGGTCTGGATTTACTTTCAGGCCAACTAAACGATAATAACCAAAATTATCGGGACCAACTTCATCCTTGGTCCCAATATTTTTGGAGGCCTTAAAACTTTCATGATTTTAATTATTACACAAGAAATCCCTCTAAACAATTTTTTTATTTTGTAAATTTTTATTTACACAATCATTAACTATTGCAACAAAATCCTTTGGAAAATAATTCCACACAAAGGAATTCTAAAACAAATCTATATAAATTTTGTAGCTAACTAGTTTACACAAATTGTTTTGTAGCAGGCTAATACACAATTTGTGTAATTTTATTATTATTATTATTAGTAGTAGTAGTAGTAGTAGTAGTAGTAGTAGTAGTAGTAGTAGTAGTAGTAGTAGTAGTAGTAGTAGTAGTAGTAGTAGTAGTAGTAGTAGTAGTAGTAGTAGTAGTAGTAGTAGTAGTAGTAGTAGTAGTAGTAGTAGTAGTAGTAGTAGTAGTAGTAGTAGTAGTAGTAGTAGTAGTAGTAGTAGTAGTAGTAGTAGTAGTAGTAGTAGTAGTAGTAGTAGTAGTAGTAGTAGTAGTAGTAGTAGTAGTAGTAGTAGTAGTAGTAGTAGTAGTAGTAGTAGTAGTAGTAGTAGTAGTAGTAGTAGTAGTAGTAGTAGTAGTAGTAGTAGTAGTAGTAGTAGTAGTAGTAGTAGTAGTAGTAGTAGTAGTAGTAGTAGTAGTAGTAGTAGTAGTAGTAGTAGTAGTAGTAGTAGTAGTAGTAGTAGTAGTAGTAGTAGTAGTAGTAGTAGTAGTAGTAGTAGTAGTAGTAGTAGTAGTAGTAGTAGTAGTAGTAGTAGTAGTAGTAGTAGTAGTAGTAGTAGTAGTAGTAGTAGTAGTAGTAGTAGTAGTAGTAGTAGTAGTAGTAGTAGTAGTAGTAGTAGTAGTAGTAGTAGTAGTAGTAGTAGTAGTAGTAGTAGTAGTAGTAGTAGTAGTAGTAGTAGTAGTAGTAGTAGTAGTAGTAGTAGTAGTAGTAGTAGTAGTAGTAGTAGTAGTAGTAGTAGTAGTAGTAGTAGTAGTAGTAGTAGTAGTAGTAGTAGTAGTAGTAGTAGTAGTAGTAGTAGTAGTAGTAGTAGTAGTAGTAGTAGTAGTAGTAGTAGTAGTAGTAGTAGTAGTAGTAGTAGTAGTAGTAGTAGTAGTAGTAGTAGTAGTAGTAGTAGTAGTAGTAGTAGTAGTAGTAGTAGTATAGTAGTAGTAGTAGTAGTAGTAGTAGTAGTAGTAGTAGTAGTAGTAGTAGTAGTAGTAGTAGTAGTAGTAGTAGTAGTAGTAGTAGTAGTAGTAGTAGTAGTAGTAGTAGTAGTAGTAGTAGTAGTAGTAGTAGTAGTAGTAGTAGTAGTAGTAGTAGTAGTAGTAGTAGTAGTAGTAGTAGTAGTAGTAGTAGTAGTAGTAGTAGTAGTAGTAGTAGTAGTAGTAGTAGTAGTAGTAGTAGTAGTAGTAGTAGTAGTAGTAGTAGTAGTAGTAGTAGTAGTAGTAGTAGTAGTAGTAGTAGTAGTAGTAGTAGTAGTAGTTAGTAGTAGTAGTAGTAGTAGTAGTAGTAGTAGTAGTAGTAGTAGTAGTAGTAGTAGTAGTAGTAGTAGTAGTAGTAGTAGTAGTAGTAGTAGTAGTAGTAGTAGTAGTAGTAGTAGTAGTAGTAGTAGTAGTAGTAGTAGTAGTAGTAGTAGTAGTAGTAGTAGTAGTAGTAGTAGTAGTAGTAGTAGTAGTAGTAGTAGTAGTAGTAGTAGTAGTAGTTGTAGTAGTAGTAGTAGTAGTAGTAGTAGTAGTAGTAGTAGTAGTAGTAGTAGTAGTAGTAGTAGTAGTAGTAGTAGTAGTGTAGTAGTAGTAGTAGTAGTAGTAGTAGTAGTAGTAGTAGTAGTAGTAGTAGTAGTAGTAGTAGTAGTAGTAGTAGTAGTAGTAGTAGTAGTAGTAGTAGTAGTAGTAGTAGTAGTTGTAGTAGTAGTAGTAGTAGTAGTAGTAGTAGTATGTAGTAGTAGTAGTAGTAGTAGTAGTAGTAGTAGTAGTAGTAGTAGTAGTAGTAGTAGTAGTAGTAGTAGTAGTAGTAGTAGTAGTAGTAGTAGTAGTAGTAGTAGTAGTAGTAGTAGTAGTAGTAGTAGTAGTAGTAGTAGTAGTAGTAGTAGTAGTAGTAGTAGTAGTAGTAGTAGTAGTAGTAGTAGTAGTAGTAGTAGTAGTAGTAGTAGTAGTAGTAGTAGTAGTAGTAGTAGTAGTAGTAGTAGTAGTAGTAGTAGTAGTAGTAGTAGTAGTAGTAGTAGTAGTAGTAGTAGTAGTAGTAGTAGTAGTAGTAGTAGTAGTAGTAGTAGTAGTAGTAGTAGTAGTAGTAGTAGTAGTAGTAGTAGTAGTTTTTGCGAGCCCTTAATCTGCATTTTATGAGCCCTGGCGCTACTTAAAAAGCCCTCATGCTACTTCACGCGCCCTTATGCTGCAATTTGAGCCCTCATGCTGCAATTTGAGCCCGTTTGTTGGCAGCATAAGGGCTCTCTGCGCCCTTATGTCACGGGCTTTATTTGTGAAAGTAATCGAGTTTATGTTGTGATTTAGAACTATAACATTTAATAAGTATGCGTACATATATATAAAATAGTATTATTTAGGATCTCAAATCAGACTTTTATTTGATTATGATAACATAAAGATAATAATTATTTATGGTTTTATTTCTTAACTATGTGGTACTTTTTTATCTGTTTTTAAATTAAGCCAATATTTAATAATTTTATTTATTTGTCCAAGCATTATTATTAGTAACATTAACATGAAACCATTTTAAAAGCATTTTATATTGATCAAGAGTGTTTCAACTAAACTTTTTTCAAATTTTATTTTAAATCATTATAGGACTTTTATATTGTAAATGGTTTCTGCTTATCCAAAGCTCCTTCTAATATATTCAATATGTTATATAATTTTTTAAAATACTTTGGAATAAAAGAGTATGATTAAGAAAATGATTAGGTTGTTTTCATCTTCGTTTAATTAATTTTATTTATTTTTCTAAAACACTTTTATTTCAGTTTAGTTTCAGTTTAATTAAAATGAATACTTGTTCCATTTGTCAACTAACCTCATTTACAAGTTTATCCTGTGCTTTATGTACAAAAAGTGTTGGCACCAAATGTCAAGGTATTAGAATCAATGAATACAATGTGTGAATACAATGCTGTGTATAAAACTTGTACAGGTATTTATATATATATATATATATATATATATATATATAATTTTAGATAAAATATGGATAAAACCTTAACAAAATTCTGATGAGCTTTTTGTTTTATTTTTGTAAAAAAATGTAATTTATAAAGTATATTGATTAAATACAATTTAGGCTCAGGTTAATCATTCATTAGGTTACACTTACTTTAACATAATTCGGTTCCTTATTTGAAGTAGATTTTTCACATATGTTCAAAATCTTGTATCTTTATTTAATAGAATAATTTTTCTGAAAAAAGTTTTTTTACTAATTAGCAAGTCTATTAAGTGCCAACTGTTTTAAATCCTTTTTATGTCCTATTTAAACAAAATAATAAACAACTTATAATTGGAACTTTATTATTTAGTATGTATAATGAATAACGTTCTTATAAATTGATTTTTTTATTTCTTATTTTTATTATTATTATTTCTTTTAGTTCTTTTATATATTTTTGTTATTATATTCTTATTTAGTTATAATATGTTTGTAATATAGATAGTGTTGGGTTGTATGTAAAATGAATGCCACTATAACTGAAGTTAAGTTTGAATGATTTTAGTGTTCTTGTTTTTTAAAAGTAGTTTTCATTGAATAAAAAAATATTTATCAGTGGTTATTCTAATAAAATATAAAATAAATGTGATATATGACATGACACAATATTTATTACAGATATATATATATATATATATATATATATATATATATATATATATATATATATATATATATATATATATATTTATAGTTGAAGACACTGCAACCTCTTCCAACTGGTCTTTTGTAAACAATTTAAAAACTAAAAATTGCATGCATTTTGCATGACATAAAATGTTGTATATGACATGACACAATATTTATTACATATATATATATATATATATATATATATATATATATATATATATATATATATATAAACAGTAAATTTATATTTTTATTTATTAATTTTTTTAGTTTTTAAATTGTTTACAAAAGACCAGTTGGAAGAGGTTGCAGTGTCTCCAACTATTAAAATGATTTTTTCTGGAGCAGTATGTATTTAAAAAATGATTGTAAAATTTATAATTATCTGTTAGTAAGCAACCGGGATTGATACTTGACCACGGCCAGGGCTAGAATTGATAAAATGTAGGCGGAGCACGGTTGTGACTAGGGCTAGGCTTGTGATGGGGGTTGCATAAACATTTATACATCCTAAAGTTTTTTTTTTTTTTTTTTTTTTTCAAAATTTATGTTATATTTTGTATATATATGCATATGTAAACATCATTACGATTAACATGATCATCATAATCATAAGTCCAATCATCATCATCTGATCATCTTCTTAATCAGCAAATACTACATCATATAATTACTAAAGTTTATATAAATATGAAAGGATTTTGTGTGCCATGATCTAAGTAGTTAGCAAACATATATGTTTATATCCATAATATGTATGATACTGGAAGCTTTTGTTCCTTCTGAAATTTTTTTCCTGGAACGTTTTACACCATCTTGAGCAGTTGCTTTATTAAACCGTAATAATTTTTTTTACTATAACATCTCTTTCTTAAGAAAAAATGTCTTATTATTGTTCTAAGAAGCCAATGTTAAAAAATCCTGTCTGATATTAAACTCTGTTACTCTCTAAATCTTTTCTCAGATGTTGGGTTCTTGAGACTTTTAGTTAGTCTTCAACTTTACAATTTCATTAACTTTACATTAACATTAAAGTAAGTCTAACATTTAATCTTTAATTCATGGGTCTGGTCTTCTTCACCACAGAATAAAGCAGAGTTGTTTGCAACAAATCTTACTCTTATTTGACTCTTGAATCTTATGGCCATACTATTCCTGCCAGTTCAACAGATTAACCCATTGTTAAACATTGAAATCACTCGGGTCCAGTGCTAACTTTAATTCTCATATAAACACTTCTACAGTTTGTGCTACAGACAAGATTTCCATCATAGTCTTAAAAAAGTTTTCTCTAGAACTCTCTTCAATTTTTGCTAAACTTTTTAAAAGTGCTAAACAAGTGGTTCCAATTTTTCAAAACTCTAGAAAACACTCTAACCTCTCTAATTTTCCTATGATTAGTCTTCACTATGTTATTAGTTTATTTATATAAAGGTTTTGAATTTATTAACTTCAAACTGAAGTATTAAAGTTATTCTATACTCTTCTATATTTCAATTAACTTTAAGGGTACCAAAATTTTACATCTAAAGTGGCTCTATTTGCTTACAACTCAACTTTATACTCTTGTTTTGACAACAAAAAAACTTTCACGTTTTGATTGCTTAGAATAAGCATAATGATGATTGCTTAGAATAAGATTTTTAATCTGATTTCTCTTCTGTAACAGCCTTGCAGTGCAAGGCTTATAGATTTACATTCTTGACTTAAAATTCCAATTTTTGTTAGACAACAAAACTCATTTACTGCAAAAAAAAATTGCAATAATATTGGCATTATGTTGATGAATATATATACCTGCCACTATATTGATGAATAACAATCCTCTTACTCTCAGACAAAGTCTAATAGTAAATTGTAAATGTAAGTAGACCTGTTTTTTCTGCCAAGCTTGAGCCACTCTCCCATTGTTGTAAGATTGCATTTCTTTCTTTTTTCTGCAAATACTATCATGGTCAATGCTCAAATAAGCTATCATCTCTATTACTATAAACCAAAACTCATTCTTGCTTGGCTTCTTATTCAATAAGTTACATCTTTTTACTGTATTTGTCCTTTCATGCTATAAAAACTTTTATTAATCCAGTTTTTTTCCTTGCATATAAAAAACAACTTATAACTCTTACCCATCTTCATGTTTTCCTTTTTTATACAACCTACAACTTTTTAAATATTCAGTTAACCGTTTTCTAGTATTTTAACTTATTATTTATTCTAAAGTAACTCATAACTTAATAGTGGTTGCCTGCAATCTTGTTGGAAGTAAATTAGAGTTTAAAAATATATAAATATATGCCAGTGTTTAATGAATAATAAATGTAAGCATAAAATTATAATATGTTTTTTTAGGTCCAGCTATAAACCCCTGGTAAACCTTATAATTTTGCCAGAACCAGGTATGCAAAAAGTTTCATTTTTAGAAGGGACAGGGCTGAAGCCCTAGTCACTTACTATATCTGTTAACAGTTTTCAAATTCCACTTTTTTGTACATATTTTTGTTACACACTCTCATTATTATAATGTTATTTTCTTTTTAATTACACAGTTTCACACACAACATTTACAAAGCTAGTGGTTCTATAAAAAATTAAGGAAAGAATAAATTTTAGAGTTGTCATCGGCTTAAAAGGTCTGAATTACTATTTTTAATTTTTTAAAAAATATGTCTAATTTTGAGTTGTAAATTTGTTATCAAAAGATCAATTAAATTGTTTATATTTGGCATTGGGATCAAATTTCCGAAAATCTAAGAAGCAATTAAATTGATTCTGTATATATATATATATATATATATATATATACATATAGCTATATATATATATATATATATATATATATATATATAAATTCATAGAAAATGACTCATCAAAAAATTTTTTGTATTCAATACTGTGTTTCATCAGAAATAATAATAATAATCAAATTAATAAAACTTCAATTTATGCCAAAAATTAAATTACAGGAAATCGCAAATGTCTTAACTACTGCAAATTTTCACACATTTGTGGAATATGTTGACACTATTATAAAAAGAACTATTTAGAATTAATTACTTCTGCTTTTTTAAAAAATAATTTTTAAAAGGGGCGGATTTAATGTAACAATTACTTGAGCTCACTTATTTTTATAGTGTTTTAGGAGAAACTTATTTTCGTACCTGCATTTAGAAATTAATTCCGATTTTTTTTTTTAAATAAAATTCTTAGTTTGCACGTGTAATAATTTTAAATTTTTCTTGTAGGCATAGTATGCAATTTTTGGAAATATTATTAAATGCAGGTGCTGTACCAATTCAGTATAAAATCATCAATATTTTGATGATTTTTTACTGAATTCAGTATAAAATCATTGTATATATTTTGACAGCATGGTGTCTTTTGAATACTTTTCATTTTTAAAGGATTGAAAAAATGTTTTTTTCCATTCACACCAATATTTTGTTTATCATGAACATTCTTAGAGGAAAATATTTTGCAAATCATAAGCAATCATTTAAAAATAAAAAGTATTCAAAGACACCAAAATATATATGGGAATTAAAAGATAAAAATATCAACGATTTTATACTGAATTGATTGTTGTCTAAATTGAAAACCCTTAAAGAACCTGTATCTAATAGCAATTGCTATAAGGTGACATGTTTTGTTTGTGAAAATTAGGTTTTTTATTACGTTATAGTTTTAGTTTTATAATTAATTTTACTAGTTTTTAAAGACGAAATAAAAAAAGCAATGCTGTTTTCAAGACCTGTTCTGATAAAATTCAGAGAGTTCAGATCTGAGCTCAAATGAATTTTCTTCTGAATCTTTGGCTGAAGATGATTTGTTAAAAAATAATTTTAACAGAGCAATTCATAATGACAATAGTTTTCTGTGTAGTGATTCAGACGATGAAAACCAAGACTGGCTAAGTTTACAATATTTAGATAAAAGACTCCCTAAATGGAGTAATAGTTTTGATGCTAGAAGTAGAAAAAAATAATCAGTTCAATGTTGCAGATGCAAAAAATGAAAAAGATGGTTCTGGTTCTGTTGAGTTAAATGTTGACTTTGATGATGGTAAAGACAAGTTTTATATGACTTCATCTGAAGAAGATAAGTAAATAGATGAATTTCTGATATGGCTGCAAAGCATTGAGGGTGGTATCAAACCACTTTGCACTGCCTTGAAACATAAAATGTTGTTTTAGGAGCTGTATGCCATGCAGCAAATGACAATGTAAATTGCAAGCATCTTGGATGTATTTTTTTTTCTTGGATGTTAAAGATGCAAAAAGATGAAAAGCAGCCAGGAACAAGAAAAACATATTTATTTTCTCTACAACTTGTATTAAACTTTTTTATTTCTAAAGAAAAACTTGAAATTATTTCTAATGAAGAATGTTTCAAGTTAAAAATCTCTATAAAGTGAAAGCATAGTTTGTGAAAAGATATTTAGAAAAGACAGCATGAAAAAGACATGTATGATTTCCACAACTTCCTCTCTTCTGAATAAATAAATACATTAGACAAATCTGACTACGTTAAAAGTGCAAAAGATGCTAATAAAGCTTCTAAGTTTTCTAATTTTATTATTACAAAGTCCAATTATTTTTGGTCAGGTCTTATTTGCTTGCATACACCTTTCATAATAATGTCACAAGACCAGAAGCTTCAGCCAATATGACTTTTGGTGAGTTTTGTTAAGCATTTATTAAAAATTTAAAACATCGTATAAAAGCTAGTATTTCGAAAAAAACTCAATGGAATTTCTCATCCACAGGTAATGGAATTATGTTTTTAAGTTATAATGGACTCATTGATGATCACTACCCAGTTTCATTTATTTTGGAATCGTGCTTTAGGCAAAAAAGTAAAAGAAGTTTTAACTAGAATGACACCAATATTAGTAAGGAAATTTACAACAAAAATATATCAAAGTTTTCCCTGTTTGTAGCAAAATGTTGCACATCATTTATGTCACAGTTTGAAGTGGCTTAGAGCTAATATGCCTTATTTGACAAATGTAATGCCGTATCAAGCACAATTAATCAACTGTGTTTAATTAAAAGATCATTAACAGATCAGCAGAAAAAAACATGCATTTGTTTGAACCTGAAATAAACAAGGGTTCTATAAAAGTAGTTGATGTAAAAAAAAGTTGTCAAGTTATTCAGAAGTTGTATGTGATGAAAAGGTTAAAAAAGTAGTTGATAAAGTTTGATATGCAATCTAAGCAGTTGTCAGGAACAGAACCTAATATTGACTATATTGATTTTGTAAATGAAGTTTCTTGTACATTAAGCTCCCCTATTTCACAAGAAATTCGAAAAAAAGAAGGTTACGTTACTAAAAGAAGTGACAATATTGAAAGTTTGATTGACGCTGCTAAGGAAGTTGATGTATTTAAATCTGAAGATTTTAACCTAGATGACTATATTCCGTCATCTCCAGATAATGCATGATAACAGATCTTTCAAAAGAAGCCGAAAAGAATTTACTGAAGAAGATAGAAAGCCTATTTATTTGCATTTATCTAACGTAATACATTCAAATGAACCAATAAAACAAATTTGTATTATCGTTAAAGAAAGCAGAATTAGCGGGTCTTGTAAAAAAGTTTGATTTGCTATCGATAAAAATGAGAAGAAACAATATAAACATTTTGTAAATAGTCTTTTTACTATTTAGGTGTCTTCAAATAAAAATGTTTTTACTGGATTTTTTTTAAGTATGAAAAATTTAATAGTTTTGATTTGTGGGGCAGAAGATGAAAGTAGTTTGTTCATTTCTGCATTTATTATGTTTGCAAATAACACGTTGTGTTATTTGCAAACATAATAAATGTTTTTTTGTACAAAAATGTTTAGTTGTACAAAAATGTTTTTTTGTACAAAAATGAATAGTTATATACAAAAAACTTTTTTAAATTTAGGCAATTACTTGACATAAGCCTCTTTTATCATTAAGGAACTATTATACTACACAGGAGAAAGCAGTATTTTTTTTTATTTTTATTTTTATTCACCTCCTCAAGGCCGAGAAGGCCACTACAGATGAGGAGGCTACTTATTTGTGGTTATAACCCTCTCTCAACTCTATAACTCCGAAACACGAACCTTGACGAACAAGGCCGCTGCGCGGAGAAACGAGTTGAGCGCGGTACTACCAGGGACGTGGTGGGGATTGAACTCGGAACCACTCGTTTATGAAGCGAGCGCTCTACCACTACACCACTGCCGCATTTATTTATATTTATTATAGTATTTGTGAATCAGGTACTATATATGTGACTTTTTTAATTCAGGTACTATGCATGTAAGATTTTTCTTTTAAAGTTCTGTTTTGATATTTTTTATAAACTTTTTAATTAGATAACGTTTAATACAAAAGTCGCATTCATATCTAAAAACAGGTAACGTGACACCAGGTTTTTAAACAGGTGAGTTTTATCGCATTTATTTCAATTTTATTTTATTAATGATTGTTTTATTTAACTAATTTTTGTTTCGTAAATACCTAATATTTACCATTCAAATTTAAATATTTTTTGTAAATAAAATATTAAATCATCGGATTTAGTTGATGAACCTATTGAACCTCGGATTTAGTTGATGAACCTATTGTCTACTGTTGAAACATGATTTGATTCAGTAAATTTTTATTATTTGAATTTTACTGTATTAATCATTAGTCAACAGTTAGCGAGAAACTGGTGCTCTACGTAATTGAGGTAAAATTAATTTTGTTCACTGGTAACATTTCAAAACAGTTTTTGTGGTTTATTGTTTTATATCTATATTGTGCTACTATATTGTTTTAATGATAGATTAATTGATGAACATTTCAATCGTCACCGAAAATTGAATTTTCCTGTTTGTTGCAGGTAGGTTTATAAAATTTATGTTTATAAAATTTTAGATAAGCAAAATTTAATTTTTTTATCTTGGTATTGCGATAATACTTTTTTTGCTTTTCATTGAAATTAACTGTTTATAAATTATTCCTAGGCTTGTTTTCCTTTAATTAGGAGTATGGTAGACTTAAAGAAGCAGTTCATATCTAAACGACACAAACTGTCAAAAGCAAGAGAAATAAAGAAAAAAACAGTTTTATAGCGACAGAACTTATTTTAATTGAATAAATGTTCAAAACTTTAGTTTAGAAAATATATTTTTTATGCATAATGTTGTACAAAGTTGTTTTGAGTCAAAGTTGTTTTGAGACCTTTATCGGTATTGAAGCAAATAACAATTTAAAAATGCCCTAAATCTGAAAGATCTGAAACAGAATAAATCGTACACAGTACGTCACAATAAATTACAAAATTAAGATAATTCATCTGTACTATATTGTATATACTGTTATAGTATTATAATAATCTGTAGTATATTGTATATACTGTTATAGTATTATAATAATAGCTATATTTACCTTTCCTACGTTTAGCTGCATTAAGCAAAATAAATTACAAAGAAAAAATCATTTTTTTTTTAAATTCGTCTTTCATGCATATTTATCTGCATTAAAAATTAACCGAGTCGCTTGTTTCTTTTTTTTTTTTAATGAGGACGAGTGACTACTTGCCCAAGCTATAGCACACTTCATGAATAACGCAGTTACAAGTTGTTAAAGCTTTTATATTTTATAAGGAACTAAAATAAATGTTTTGAGACAACCGGAAACTAAAAGAAAAAACTTGAAGAAAATGGAGATTGAATTAACTACGAGGTAACTGACTCATTTGCGCTTGCTTCAAGCAAACATCTTAGTAGGGCACTACTAAGATGTTTGCTTTCAACAACGTAGTAAGGCACTTTTTAAGGCGGTTTTTAAGTCGACAAATAAATAGGTACTTAAATTTACATATCTGTGCACTTATGGGGCTTTACTGGCCAAAGAGACAGTTGTGATTAATCTCAACTTAAAAGTTATTCCTATCAGAACTGAATAAGTCAAACATGCAGTTGAAAATGTAATGTAGTTATCACTGATAACTATATAATTAAAAAGCTATAAATCGAGATTGATATATTGTGATAAAAAAAGAAAAAAGCACCTTTACAACTCAAAACTAATCTCAGAGTTCTACTGCTTAAGAAAGGTAATGAATTACTTAAATAAAAAATTTTCGGAGAAAACTCAAACAAACAAAAAAAAGGTCAATCATGTTCAACATACAGAATTGTCCTCATCCTACTCAATATCTAATTTTTTGAAGCAATATGCAAACCAATTCTGCTCTACGGCTGTAAAAGTTATATTCTCATGTAAATACTTTTAAACTTAAGCACTTAGTAGCATTTTAAGGCACAGCTACAGTTAATCCTAATCTAATCCTAAGAATTAAATTGACCTGGTCAGCATTCAGTTAATATTTTATATAGTAAAATTCAATCGGTTTAAACTTCATATTCAGCAACTGTGTTTTGTAAGATATTGCATTATAAGAGACTCAAACAATTTTATTACCCAATACATACTGTTGGACTGTGGAGAAAAACAAGTTGGAGCAAAGTTGTAAAGTAAACTGAAAACAATATATCTCCAATAAAATCTGCAAACTTATCAATAGTTAAGCGCCACAAAGAACAAACAAGATCCGAAATGTCGCAAAGCTCAGACATGCTTGATCTAGCACGGAAAACATTTAAAAAAATTTGATTACTGCAAACCCACCCTGTTTGCAGCCGTTGATAAGGGTAATGATGATTGGCCATGGAGCATCAGCAATTTTAAATCATTTCGTTTATTGACTTATTTTAAAAAAACTAAATAGGGTCGAATAACTTAAAAGACACTTTTTAGTTAAAATGATATTATTTTTAACTATATATAATTGTTTGATGTTCACAAAACAGTCACTTTACACTTAAAAATAAAAAAATTTCAAGTTTTTTCATTTATAAGCTACACAAAAAATGTGCGCCCCCATGCCACTTAAACTCAGAAATTTAGGTAAATAGTTATGTTATGTATAATTCAATAATAACAAAAAAGGTTTTTTAATTTATTTAGTAAAATAGTAGAACTGGAAAACTTTATTAGAAAATTGAACTACTTGCGCATGTAAATGCGGAAACAAAAAGGACATCAATTTCTCGGTTTGTTCATTCGCCACTGAAAAGTTTTCACAGAGTCAACCCGATTAAACACATTTCAGTAACATCACTCAAGTAAATACGCGGAAAAAAAAATTACGAGTAGTAGAAAAAAATTATGAGAGGAAAATATAAAAACTGGTGGAACTATGGTACTTTTAGGGGGAATTTACTAGGTTTTCAGAAACAATTATTGTTTGTTAGCGATATTAATTCATGTCGAGGGGAATCATGTTTAGCCCCCATGCTACGCAAGTAGAAGAAACATGTTAGAAAAGTGTTATTTTTATAAGCGGTACAAATCTTCCAGGTAAAAAAAAATATTTGAAATAAAAATAATATTTATTTTGAAGCATTTTTAAAAAAAATTGTTTAAAACATCGTTTTTACGCACCTCTTGCCTCTAATTCAAATTTCGCAACGCGAGGGCACATCGGCAACGGTTATAGTAGTAGTAGTAGTAGTAGTAGTAGTAGTAGTAGTAGTAGTAGTAGTAGTAGTAGTAGTAGTAGTAGTAGTAGTAGTAGTAGTAGTAGTAGTAGTAGTAGTAGTAGTAGTAGTAGTAGTAGTAGTAGTAGTAGTAGTAGTAGTAGTAGTAGTAGTAGTAGTAGTAGTAGTAGTAGTAGTAGTAGTAGTAGTAGTAGTAGTAGTAGTAGTAGTAGTAGTAGTAGTAGTAGTAGTAGTAGTAGTAGTAGTAGTAGTAGTAGTAGTAGTAGTAGTAGTAGTAGTAGTAGTAGTAGTAGTAGTAGTAGTAGTAGTAGTAGTAGTAGTAGTAGTAGTAGTAGTAGTAGTAGTAGTAGTAGTAGTAGTAGTAGTAGTAGTAGTAGTAGTAGTAGTAGTAGTAGTAGTAGTAGTAGTAGTAGTAGTAGTAGTAGTAGTAGTAGTAGTAGTAGTAGTAGTAGTAGTAGTAGTAGTAGTAGTAGTAGTAGTAGTAGTAGTAGTAGTAGTAGTAGTAGTAGTAGTAGTAGTAGTAGTAGTAGTAGTAGTAGTAGTAGTAGTAGTAGTAGTAGTAGTAGTAGTAGTAGTAGTAGTAGTAGTAGTAGTAGTAGTAGTAGTAGTAGTAGTAGTAGTAGTAGTAGTAGTAGTAGTAGTAGTAGTAGTAGTAGTAGTAGTAGTAGTAGTAGTAGTAGTAGTAGTAGTAGTAGTAGTAGTAGTAGTAGTAGTAGTAGTAGTAGTAGTAGTAGTAGTAGTAGTAGTAGTATTCACTGCCCTCATGCTACGAATTGCATGCCCTAGCGCTACGAAATTTCGCCCTCGTGTTACGTTTTTGCCCTCATGTTACGCGGAATGCCCTTATGTTACGCAAAATGCCCTTATGTTACAAGTTTGCCCTCATGTTACGAAAAATCCGTAGCATGAGGGCAAAAATAGCCCGGATGTTACGCTAAATAGTAGCATGAGGGCATTCGGCTTAAAACTTTGATTTTATAGGATTAATGTGTAAGCGAGCAAATTGGCAGATTTTAAAATGGCAGAGTTTAATGTATCAGTGGGACGTTTGATTAAGATTGATATAGTAATAAATTAGCATTGAAATATAGTTAGAACGATAACATATTAATAAATAATAATAATGTTGAACATGTATGCAATCATATTTAAAATAATTCAAATAATGATATTGGCGATATATTAATTAATTAAGATTGATAGTAAAGTTAGCTAACTCTAGTCTCTGTTAGTAAAATAAACATTTATTGGTACCTCAGGTAGTACTTAATTTGTTATTAAAATGTTGTTAAACTTTGTTTTGGCTAAATATACTAATTAATAAATTACTCAAAATACAGTACTGTTTCATTAGTATTGTTCTAAAATAACATAGAACTGACATCAGTGAGATTCTCTAACTTTGAGATCTCATTGACACAATACCTTTGAATCGAATTTATTATTGTCACAATGCCTTTAACATATTATATGCATATAATGTGTGTATCAAGCACACATTACTAATGTCATTAGTAATGTGTGTTTGATACACACAATATATACATATGATATATGTTAAAGGCATTGTGTAATGTTATTACATACATATGATTTACATACACTGTATGTACATCATATGTATATAATGTAGTCACATCAATACAAAATACATTACATACATACAACATAGTACCTTGTATAGTATTTAGGTAACAAATTGTTAGTAATTATACTAATTAATAACACCTTTGACAAAGTTCAAAGGTTTGTTCAAAGGTATTATTAATTTGCAATTGTTATTAAAGTTAATAATAATATCTTAAAGTTTGAGATACCTAATGATGTAAGTTCTTATGTTTTTTAGTACTATAATTAATTAAATATCTTAAATAAATCCTAAATCTTCTCAACATAAAAAGGTCATAGGTTTTTGCTTCAGATTTTATGTTGAAATACAAAAAAGTTTTCCATTTGAAATCATTTCAATAAACTTAACTTAACATTTAGTAATAAATACATTCTCTCCAAAACTGATCATAAATAACTTGTGCTCTCAAGTGTAATAATTGTTACGTTAATTTTCTATATTGAATAAAGGTTTTTAAAGTTCGATAAATAATTCTATAAATAAATTATTATAATAACTATTTATATTTTAAGACTAAAGAGTTAATTAAAAATGTTAGAAGAAAATATTTTAACTCCAAAGTGTGTACTGTGTAAAAGAGTAATAGATAACTCATGTAAATGTAACTTATGGAAAAACGATGCTTACAAAATTTGTAAGGCTTGTGCAGGTATTAAATTTATTTTGTTTGATTATTTATTATATTTGCTTAAATACACAAGCTAATCTATTGTTTATCTACAGATTCTTCATGCTGTATTTCTTATCCTGATAATGTTTTAATAGTTAAAAGAGGTATGTATTAGCACATTTAGGACATTGATTGTAATTTGGGAGATATTATCGTTTTTTATTGCATATTTTCATAAAATATTACTGTATATATTACCGGTTTCAAATATATTTAGCTAGAGTTTAGACAAAAATTGTTTCCT